TTGAACCTAGTTTTGAGTACTCTTTTCCTCCATTTAGGTTAGGGAGGTTTTTAATAAGGCTCTTAACTTAGGTTTTTTTTATTATTAATAAATTTTATTTGCCGAGCAAAAAAAATGTATGAGTTGATAAGCTAGTTACAAAATATTCCTATAGAGTCATAAATAAAATAATATTACCTTATTCAATCATTTATAATAAAGTATGTGTAAATTGATAAATTCATTACATCTTACGGTATTCATATATACAAAAAAGATAAATTAATTAATTTATATAATGGAACATGTATGAGTTAATAAACTCGTTACAAGATAATCCTAAAGATACATAAACAGAATAAATGTTATCTTATTCAATCATATATAATGAAGCACGTGGAAATCGATAAACTCATTACAACTTATGATATTCATATATACAATAAAAAATAAATTTAATTATATAATGGAATATGTATAAGTCGATAAACTTGTTACAAGATACTCCTAAAGATTCATAAATAGAATAAACTTTATCTTATTTAGTCATATATAATATAGCACATGTTATTGATAAACTCATTACAGCTTATGACATTCATATGTACAAGAAACGAAAAATTAGTTTAATTATATAATGGAACATATGAGTCAATAAACTCGTTACAAGATACTTTTAAAGATTCATAAATAGAATAAATATTACCTTATTTAATCATATATAGTGAAACACATGTAAGTCGATCAATACAACTTAGAATATTCATAAAATAGAAAGTGAAAAATACGAGTTACGACAAATTAATTCAATAATATCTAATAAAATGTACATGAAATGATAGATCCATTATAATTTACAGTATTAATATATATACGAGAAATGATAAATTAATTTAATTATATAATAGAACAAATAATACTCTATGAGCGTGAGTCGTATAAGGTTTTTAATGACATGTTATATATATTAAATATACACGTATTCTTTTCTTCACTAAGATTTTTTCCTACATAATTTTTATCTTATTAAGGTTTTAATGAGACACATTATTTTTGCAGACATCCAAAGAGGGTGTTATAAATATTTATCTATTTTAGTGTTAATGTGAGTAGAACTTTATGTATAAGATATGATTTTCATCTACTTTGTTGCAGTCTTAATATTCATATTTTTATTAAATTTAGATACAACATCAACTACTTATGACGGGAAATATAGAAGTTTGAGAAGTCTCTCAATACACGATAAATTATTTGATGGACTCAGCTTACCACGTCATCGATGGTCTCAATGAATGAGGAGCTACAAATTTTAAAACAACTTCCAAATAACTATCCACTTCTTATTTACATGTAAAAAAGAGGTGAAGATTGACCTTAGAAAACACTGATATAGACAATATTATTGGTTGGGACCACAGATGACGTGGTGAGTTGGAACCATCAAATAATTTCTCCTTGATACACTTCATATCGAGAAAGCAATACAAAATTTTCTTTTATCATACATTTTGTTCTTGTTCTTTTGTTACTTTCTTTACTTTATAACACTATTTTAATTGAATAATAACATTACCAAATCAACCCATTTGACAATTCTAGTTATTCGGTCCCAATTTGACAATAATTGAATCAAATTGGATTTTTTTTAATCACATTTGGAGTAGTTTGTGAACGAAAATGTGTTGTCTACATCTTGCTTTTTTTAAATAAAAAAAAAACCCTTGATTGTGTTTTCCACCTTTTCACTCACTTGAGAGCCTAATTTTTCAGCAGTTTCTTAATATTTTGAGAAAGAATTGCAAAAGGAAACAGTTGGCTAAAGCAATAATAAAAACATAACGCCTAAACCAAAAACCAATTGAAGATGAGAGAATGGCAAAACTACAGATACCTCAAAAGAAATGTTAATAATACATCCAATTTGTTTGACTCGAAAGCTAATTGCTTCACCACTCAAAATTTTAAACTTTTCAATGTATCATCATCTTCTGTCTATAACTCTCTTCTGTCTATATATTCCTTCTCTCTTTCGCTCTACATTGCACCAACTACAGTAAACATCACCATTGCCAAGCATGGTGCAACCGGTAGGGGTGTAGGGCTGCCAGAATCCAAAGGGATGTCTGTCCCTGAAAATGATTCATCGAGGCGGAGGGTCGAGTAAGAGTGCCCTACATGTTTCAAAACCTTTTACTCCGCATCTGCCTTTTGTGGCCACCAAAACGCCCATCGTATCGTCAAAGAACTCATGAAAATATCACCGGTTCTGGCTGCACTCCTTTTCATAAACCATTTTTTATTCCACCAAGGTCGAAACCCCGCTCCGGAGGAGCTACTAGAGCTGGCAAGGAACCTCTTTCTAAGCAGGCTACGGCAAGCCAGTCTCCTCGTTTTCATCCATATACCAGAATCGACGAGGAGCATAACCCAAACCAGCTTCAGGAGAAAGTCATGAAACAAACCACTCCAGAAGGAGCAGCCCGATTGCGCAAGTGGATGCCTGTAACTCGTTATATAATGAAACATTTATGAGTTGATAAACTCGTTATAAGATATTCCTTAAAATATATAAAAATTAGATTAAATTTTACTTTATTTAATTATATATAATTAATTGATAAACTCGTTACAACTTATGATCATAAGCGAAAATAAAAAACCCCACGAGCTACATTACACTCGACATGATCATTATTCCTTAGCAAGATAGAGTCAAACTCATAAAGACCATCTTTCTCACATCCTTCAAGTGGCATCGTTCTTGTAGCTTCATCCCGAACTACACATCTATGAGCATGAAATTCAAGAAATATGTGATTATCTTTAGCAAACTTAGAAACTGACACTAAGTTCTTCGATATATGAGGAACATAAAGTAAATTATTTAACGTTAAAGAACGATCACGACCATGTAAACGAGAATAACCAATGCTAGAAATAGATAAGTCATTACCATTACCAACCACAAGCTTACCCTGTCTGGTATACTCCTCTCGACCGACGATATTATCTGCATCCGACGTCACATGATGGGTGACACCTGAATCGACAATCCATTTCCCAGAGGACTGAGTGACACCACAGCTACCCATATTCGACTTAGGAGCACAATCAGTCGTAGCTACTATAGCATTGTCATCCCACACTCCTTGGCAACCCCACGCAAGTGATAAGGAAAAAACACAATAATGAGCAACTGGATTGGCAATCGAAGAAGAACGACCAGCAGAGACCCCTTGAAAATTTTGGTCAAACCTATACCAGCAACAGTTCACTAAGTGATCAATTTTTCCACAAAGTTGGCATTGAATCAGAGGCTTACCATGACCTCGACCACCCTGAAGATAAGAAGAAGAAACAACCCCTTTCACCAGTGAGTCAGAAACCTGAAGGTTCGCAAGATTTGTGTTGATCGTCAAGCTATCATCCTCCTCAAAACCCCTCTGTTGCAGCTTTGCAACAAGCAACACAGAGGTAACACCATCCAACGTGAAAGGTTCTCTGCTAGCAGTGATAACAACAATAAACGGTCGGTACTCCGATGGAAGACCGTTCAAAATGGTCGCCAGTTGCTCATACTCAGTTACCGGAGAACCACACGCGGCAAGGGCATCACAAAGCTCCTTGACCTAAGATATGAGCATTCTCATGCTCATTTCACCTTTACGAATTGTTTTCAAACGATAATGAAGATTCATTATCGTCGTTGTCGATTTGCTGGCAAAATACTTAGTGATCGTAGCCCCTACCTAAGCAGTCGTATCAGCTACAACCAAGTGGGGAATAATCGGAGGGCTTATGGTAGACAGAAGCCATGAAGCGAGAGCATTGTCTTGTGCAACAAATATTTTATAGTCTTCGTTTTCAGCAACCATGCCATTTCCCAGAACTACCGTTGCCGGAGAAGGAGTGACTGCACCAGTGAGAAGTTTTTCCAAGCGATGACTACGAACCGCCAGAATTACTTGTTGCTTCCATAAGAGAAAATTGTGTTCATCCAAGATGACACTGAGCCGTTTGTTGGTGAAGATCTTTTGCAGCACCGCCGACGATACTTCTGAATCACCCATCGCACCACCAACAGAACAATGCAAGAAAAAAATAGCTAAGAAAGGTAGATACTCCCAGATCCCTAGGCAACCGATACATGTTAAATTTTCTGTAAAAACTTTTCTGTAAAAACAAAATACAAATGCACTGCTCTTTTCATTTCACGAAACGTATATTTATCTTTTTTAGAAACTCCATACTAAAAGAATCTATTTGATATGCCACCTCACCTATGCAGTTATAACCATTTTAACAACCAAGCTGATATTTGTTTTATTAGCTACAGAGATGCACCATTAATCCAAGCTTATCGGGCAATGGAATCCGACAATAGTAATGAAAAGGTGGTGAAATTTATAACTGAAGAAAAAACGTGGAATCTCCGAGACATCTATGACATACTCTTGGACGATACAAAGAGCCAAATTTATGGCATTCCGATTCCGGTAACGAGGCAGGAGGATAACAACGATAGGGTCCAATGGGGTTTTTCAAAAGATGGAAAGTTTTCTGTCTCTTCAACATACAAAGCAGTTATCAATATGGAGATGCTCAACCAAAGTTCAATCAAGACGGATTAGGTATGGAAATTTAGAACTACCGAGAGGATTAGGTTCTTTATATGGCTATGTATACTCAACAAACTTAACACCAATGAGATCCATGCAAAAAAGAAATTGACGGTAGTAACTAATTGCATGGTATGTGGCGAAGCAGTTGAAACAATCGAGCAAGTTCTACGTAAATACACGATAGCGAAACAAGTAATGCAAGAATTGAAAGCTTACCAACTGGATAACTAGTTCGATACAAGAGATTTTGGAAGCTGGATGAGGGTCAATAGCAAGATGAGCAAGGAGTTGGACGTTGGTCTTGAATGGGGTATGTTATTTACGGCCACAATCTGGGGATTATGAAAAGGTAGGAATGAAATGATTTTCTCAAATACGAGAACAGAACGTGAACGAATGTTTTTGTATGCTCGGAAACTTGCAAGAGATATTAAGCTAGCTTATACATCCACCCACAGGGTAATAACGAAAGATCCGAAATGGATAAAGTTGAGAAAAACCCCTAGAGGCACTTGGATCTTGAATACAGACGGAGCTTATAAAGCAGTGACGGGGTTAGTGTCGGCAAGAGAACTTATACGAGACGAAAACGGAGAATGGGTAAGAGGTTTCATGTTACGAGTGGGACATATAGATAGCACAACACCAGAACTGTGGGATGCTCGCCAGGGTCTTTTACTAGCGAAATCTCTGGGGGTAATAAATCCCATTTTAGAGATGGATGGAAAATGGGTGATCGACACTTCAAAGGGTAGACAAGCGGAAGGGTAACAACATGAGAGGCTAAGACGAGACTGCCCGGAATGACTAAAGGAAGGCTGGGTGAGTGAAGTTAGATATGTTGAACGAGAAGGTAATAAATGTGTTGATTGCTAAGACAATATGGCGTTTAGTCGAGGATACCTGACAATATTACAGTCCCTGTTGAGTAATCAAGAAAAGTTTAAGAATTGGCACAGATGATTTTATTCAATCATGAAAAGAGCTAATTACAACCTCACATTTCTACATCTTATATAGGAGTATTACAAAGCTTAAACTGCTTAACAGTATTCCTTAACAACATTCTGTTATACTAACCGACTAGCTTCTAAACTCCTATTATTTCTAGAACTATCTCAACCATATCATGCACGAGCATGCCTGGGATTGTTGCATACATATGCAGTGCCTCAACATTCCCCCTGCTTCTTCTTTTCTTTTGTTCTTCTGACTTTGAACACACTATTATAGTAAGCTCTAAAAACTAATTACAACTAATTTCTAACATTCAACCTTCTTGATGAAAAGATAAACAATTGAATCGAAAGTGCGGATGCTTCCTTTCGTTCACTTGAATCGAAACTGCCGATATTTCCTTTCGTTCTTCTTGAATCGAAAGTGTCGATGCTTACTTCCGTTCATTTTGAATCGAAAGTGCTGACGCTTCCTTTCGTTCTTCTTATTCACCTTCATTTATTTCTTCTTCACCCTCTTTTACAAGGTAAGACACACATCCTTCGGTTCGACTTGAATCGGAAGTGCCGATACTTCCCTCCGTTCGACTTTAATGGATGCAAACTTTTGATGTGAATGAACATTCAACAACAAAAAATCTAAAAAAAACCTATTCTAAAACAACAATGTTTCGCAGCTTAACTACTAACAGTTCTTCATCCTCCTTGCACGTAAACCTTCTGCTTCATATTCACAGTTCCACTGATATGTTGAGAAGCATTTGCAGTTGCGGCCCGAGTTAGTCCAGAGTTTTACCACGATGGCTCGTTGCTCTAACTTCACTCATCATGTTCAGATATCCATTGGACTTAACAGATATGCTCTTGGGCAACATAACCCTCTCAAAATCCACTTCATCTTCCACATCATAAACTTCTTCCTTTCCTACACCGCCACCACCGAGACAAAGTCCTCCCAAAGCGTTCACCAACTCAAACAGCGTGGTGTTGTAATCAGAGGATGCAAAGTGGTTCTGGACTAAGGCTTGGATCAGCGCTCTGAGTCGCTTGTTGAGGTAGCGATTGACTTATCTCAGAGAAGTATTCTCTTGGCGGAGTGATTCGGCTTCTTTTGCATCTTCACGGAAGTGAGCGAGGCAAAGGCTGTGGCGGTTAATCATAACTTGATGTTGTTGTGTGAGGAGATGGGGATCATATAGAGCAAAAAGAGAGGCGGCAGCGACGGAGTTAGCGGCGGTTTCAGCCATGAAGTTGTACTCCTACTCGATGGAGGAGATGATCCGCCATGAGGCACGGGGAGCACCGATCACGTTCTTGCAAGCGACGGAAAGGAGGTTCCGCTCCTCGACGGTGAGTTTGTCTACGTTCTCCATGATCTTGACCATCTTCTACGCCAACAAGCTTGAAGAACTAACAAGAACACCCTGAGTTACGCAGCACGAAAACAGGAGGCTCCAGGAACTTATGGCGATTTATACCATGTTGAGTAATCAAGAAAAGTTTAAGAATTGGCAAAGATGATTTTATTCAATCATGAAAAGAGCTAATTACAACCTCACATTTCTACATCTTATATAGCAGTATTACAATGCTTAAACTGCTTAATAGTATTCCTTAACAACATTCTGTTATACTAACCGACTAGCTTCTAGACTCTTATTATTTTTAGAACTATCTCAACCATATCATATCATGCACGAGCATGCCTAGGATTGCTGCATACATATGTAGTGCCTCAACAATCCCCACTAGAAGAATTAATTCATTTGTTGGATATGGATGCAAGAGGAAATGGCGTTTTGAGGATGTAACTTTGTACACTCGAGTAAAAATCTTTTGTACCAAAAAATTATCTAATTTTAGCATATACCTGATTTATTTCAATACATCTTTTTTGAGTACGAATTAAATTGGGTTAGGAAGATCTCTTCCATAATAGACTTTTGTAAAATTCGATATGGATTAATCAGTCAATAGATCGAATATTAGTAATTAATTTAAAAATAAAAAAACTTAATTTCCATCCATAAAAAAATTATATCTAATAATAAAATAATATTATTTTTTCTCAAAAGATTTGAATTTAAAAGTTTATATTTATAATGTGTATGTACCGTTTCAATACAAATCATGTATGATAAGGTCACAAGACTTATATACTCGTGAATGATGATGATGATGATGTACCAAAGCCCACAAGATTAGTGATCAGAACAACTGGCCCGATTTGCTCAAATTGGACTAGTTTGATGGTTTGTCTATTAAATCAGTTTGGAGCAGTCGGAGGCCTATAATCCGCCTGGGTGAGATGAAACAAAAGAAATATTCTTCCTTTTAAAAAAAATCTTTTCATTTATTATCCCAAAGAACCTCATTAGATTTCCCCTTTCATTTCTCTCTTTTCTTCTTTTTTTCTATTTTTTGTTTGTTTCAATTTATTTGCATATATATATATATTTTATTAATCTAAGGTAAGTATAAAGAAGTATCTATTCGAATATAACTCTCAACCATTAGACATTGAATGCTTACATCCCTGACATTCCTGGTGCTCGAACCCGGAACTTCAAGAAATAACAATAGTTCCTTTTTCACCGACATCATTTGGTTTGGACTTATATTTTAACCTTTTTACATATTTGAGTATGTATAATAGTACATTTTATCTGGTCCGCTTCTATTAGTCAACCCATTAGATTTAATCCATTAATTAGACTTATTTTTGAACATTTTAGCCTATTTTTTGGTTTGTCCCAACCGAAAATTCAAAAACAAAAATACCAAAAAATAAAATAATTAATTAATTAATTTTAATTTGGAGTACAAATACATTTAACCCAAATAAAACCTAAGTCAACTATCCAATTAACCCATTCACAAGCCAACTCAATACAACATCGATCCAATTAGCCCAAAATATTTAGGGTTAACGCTAGAGATTGTGGTTGCCGTCAGAAGCTGCTAGACATCTGTAGGATTGACGGCCGTCAACTGCAGCGTATGCCACTCATGTGATAATACCGCTTGAATTTCTTCACGCTACCAGCAATCCTACATGCACGCGCCGGTTGGCTCCCATTCTCCTCAATAGTTGTCTCAAACAATGGAGAGCTCTTTCATCGAAAAAAATCTAGAAGAAATATCTCAGGGATTACAATCCCTCTCACTCAAATTTGTACACAAATTCTATAAAATAACACCACCTACGTGAAAGATAAAGCAATAAATAGGAAAATTTTAAGGTACTTTCCTTTTGTTTTTGGCATAATGCTATAAAAATATTCTCAACATTTGATTAAATATAATTCATATAATTTTGAAGTATATTGAAATATTTTAATGTTCAATTAAATAATCACTTTAATTATTTATTTATTTTATTTAAATATTATGTACTATAACATTTTATTTTAGAGTGAAAATATTATTATTTTAAAGTATTGGTCATTTGATAACCAACGATTTTCATTAAGAGGGAATCCATTTTGTCACAAAATAAAAAATTTAGACCAATATACACAAAAAAATCAATTTAAAAATCAATGATAACTGATCCTTAACGTTATCTATCCTTTTGGTTTAAATCCCTAATGTTATCGGTTTGTCCGATTTAAATCCCTTCGCCTTTAACTTCTATTAACCCCTTAACGAAAATAAATGCAACAATTAAAAAAAACCAAAACCCACATGTCTTCTTCTTCCATTAATAATTTTCACCATTTTATTTCTTTTTTTCCTCTGGCTGTGTTCTTCAAAATTCAAAATTGCACAAGACTTTGATTCTTGAGAAAGCGTCAAAGATGAACATATGTAATATTGCTTACAAGTGCAAAAGCATCATAGATTATTAACTTAGTAAAGTGAAGACCAAAATGACTTATCTTTCACCGGTAATTCAAAATTACATGAATCGTCATGTGATCATAATAGCAATCAAGTTCAAATTTTGGAAAGAACACTGGTGGGTGCTGTCCGACAAGCTCTTGCTTCGATTATCATCATCATCTTGTGAAATTTCGGATTGATCTGATTTGAAAACGTTGGACGAATTCTCCGGCTCAATCAACGAAGAATGATCGGAATCGAAAACATCGCTTTTAGCCAAACACGCTTCTTCCTGTTTACATGCCAACAACGACACATGAGACACATGTTCAAGAGGTGTCTTGGCATCAAGAGATTCTAAATTTTCACTCCATTTCTCTCTAATCATCAACTTCTTTTTCAGTTCAAGTACCTACAATGGATTGAAAAAAATGGAACAAATCAATTTTTGAGTAACCATTAGAGCAGATTAGTACTTCAAAAATGTACCTCGTTTTTCAAACTATCTTTTTCCTTGAGGAGATTCTCATAGTCACCCTTGAGCTTCTCGTAGCTAGCTTTCATGGAATCGTAGTCTTTTTTAAACTGTTTGTTCTTGAACCGAGCACCCCACTTTGAAACCAGATTGCAACTTGTCGAGGCTGTAAACCGAGTTCAGTTGCAAGTTGCAACTTCCTGTCTGCCTCGAGTTTGTTTTCAACCTCGAAGCTACTCTCGAGGAACCCAACTTGTGTGGCGGTCAACTGTGTTTTCTTCCCTGGCAGCTGATATGATCCATCAAAATCATCGTCACCATTGTCTTCTTTGTCGACCGGTCAGAAGAATCTGGTTTCCATTCACCGGCATCCTCATAACTAATCATCGGCTGTCGACCTGATCAAATCATATGATGGACACAGAAAAATAAGCAACTTTGTTGCCATCCCATTTTTGTGGTTTTGGGTTTGTCCCTGTTGACCCAAAAAAACTATTTTTGTTGTATGGCATCCC